CCGCAGGCGGGGCCCTTGTCAAAACTACCATTAGCCATTTTCGGAACAGGGCGGTAAGGCAGATCTCCGGGCCCTTCCCAGGCCTGCTGGCCGCACCTTTTTATCCTAGAAGATGGGGCCGTGTTTAGTTTATTTAAAATTGTCATTCTGCATTTTCTGCGGAGGAAAATGTTGAAAATTGTCATTTCCGCACGTGTTTAAAGGTGGGGTTTGGAGATGCCTCTGTGAATGTGCGCGAGTGTGAAGCTGATTCTCGTCATTACAAATAATCCAGCCACCAAGCCAGGAAACATGAAATTGCTACTCTGCCCTTAATTGGTTTAGTGGTGGACTTGGTAGTGTCAGGTTAATGGTTGGACTGGATGATCTTAAAGGTCTTTTCCAACCTAAACGATTCGATGATTCTATATACATCTAAAACCAGCCAGAGCGAGGGGTTGTGAGCCTCAGGGGTTTGCAGAAACGTTTAGGATAGCGCGAGTGCTGCTGCCTTCAGGTGTTACTCCTCTTGAAACACTGTCTATATGTTTAAAGAACTGTATATGTGCCTCAAATTAGTTAAACCTTTTGGCCTTCTGTGAAGAAATAAAACCAGATAAAGGTGTACGAGATCCTTGCCGAAGTGGTAGGGGAAGTTAAGGAACAGCAGCGAAGTGCAAGCGCAAGGACATGGGACACACAGCGGCCATTAAAACACTGTATGAGAAATCAGAAACATCATTTAACAAAACCACAATGAGACACGTAAAGCTCTACAGGTTAGCAGCTTTAAATGTGTCAAACAAGGGGAAAACTAGACCTGCATCATTGCCAGGGTAGGTGGTGACCTGTAGGCTGCTTTATGCACAAAATGGCATGAAAACAAATTCTTACTACAATATTTTGCTGCCAGATTAAAAGGAGCATCTAAAGCGAATTTAAAATTTGGAGACAAAGTTTGGAAATGATGTTGACAAAAGCAATCCCTGTTTAAAGTAAGCAATGGAAGAGTATGTGTGAGTTCTGGTGAATTACTAATTATCCTGCCTGGGCTGTTTGTTGCTGTGGGTACTTCCGCACCGGAGCTCTTGCCTCTCCTCAGCACAGGAGAGGGAAAGCAGAACTGGCCAAAAGGCTTCCCCTCTGCTTCTGCAATTCAAAGGTCAGCCTTGCAGCTCATGCTGGGTCCTGCCCCAGCTTCCCCAGGTGGCCTTTTTTGTCAGCTGTGGATTACATCACTTTGCTTTGGCTCTCTTCCCAGGATCCTCAGTGCACATTGGCCGCAAAAGGGGCGGTGTATTTATGATACCAGTTCTGTGCCATCCCTAAACAGAAGAGGGATTATCTACAAATACTTCCGCGCAAAGATATTTCAGCATTGTTATGGTGCAGTGGGGAGATCTCCCCTAAAAGTTCGGTGGTAATATCTGAGTTTAGACCTATGTCCATGAAAGGTCTGCAAGAATTTTAGTCTGGACGTAGGTCGTGTTGGATTTTCTCCTGGCCGGAGATACTGGCTCACTCTGATTTAATCAAACTTCTGCAAAGTATGGGAACAATAACTCATGGTCAGATTACAAGGTTATAAATTTGGATTCTTACTTTTATGCTGTATACTCAGCCCACCTCCACTCTTTGCAGTGACTGGATGCTTTAAAAATGTAGTTCTTATCAATTTTTAATTAGGCATAAAGGCACATTTTGCCATACGGGTCTCTCAACTTCTCCTGAGGTTAGTGTATGCGGGGCCCTTGCCTCTAACTGCAGACTGATGTCCTGGGTCTCGGTGGCGTTAAGGAGATGTGGTACCACAGAGAGCGTAGCCCTCAATTTAAAAAATTGGTAATTAAAATTATGGTAATTAAAAGGACAGATGCTTTTGTACTGAGTTAAAACTAGCTTTGGTTTTAACCTAAAGCTGCTTCAAAATATCAACGGATAGTAATGTAAAAATTAAATGGTAAATGGACCTCAGCATGAAATGGTACATGTTTCTAGTGTGATTCTTTTAACATGTGAGTTCTTATCTGTGATTCATTAGTATAAACAGAAGGCATTCAGGAGGATATTTTTTAAGCTGGTGAGAAGAGCTGCTTGTTTCTTTGCTGTATTCCTCGCCCAGCAGCAGTCTTTTGGAGCCTGGAGATGCATTGTGAAAAGTAACTTGGTAAATATGTTTGAATGTTGGAGAAAGGCTGACAGAGCAGAAACAACGACTTTTAGCTCATTTTCAAAATAATATCGATCTTTAATTAAGCAAATGATCATTCTTGTTATGAACCTTTTAAAGAGGAAGTCTATTTGAATTGAAATAGAAAGCCATGGTAGAAAGCGTTTTTATTCTTATACCAACAGCGATTTCATCATGAGAATATTGTCGACCTGATTCATGTATTTTGGCAGAAAAAAAAGACTTCACTTGGTGTTTGAATTTATTGATCATACAACTCTAGATGAGCTCCAGCATTATTGGATAACAAAAGGCCTAAAAATACCTTTTCTAGCTACTCCAAGCAATTGAGTACCTTCACAACAATGATGTAAGAACTCACCTCAAAGACTGAACATCAATAAAATGTTAGCATTTTAAAGCCTTTTCTTTTTTGCAGTGTTTTGTCATACAGATATCAGAGGTGTTAATTCTTTATTGAGAGAAAGGTTTTGTTTCATAATGATAGTTTTCAGACTTCCATTTGGCTCGAAATGATCTGCAGAATTGAAACGAGACATCGCACTAGATGATCGGAGGAGTACTTGGTAGTGGTGGTACTCCTGCAGAGTATTTGGACCCATCTCTTGAATTCTGAAAAGCTAAAAAGACTCCGTACTTTATCCAGCCCATTGCGTTACTACCTTAGCAGCTGCCTTCCCTGCTGTTGCAGTGCCTTGCTTATCCTTCCCTACTCCCACCTTGTCCTTCTCCTTGCTGCTGTCTCACCTCTTTTAATCCCTTTTGCTTTGTCCTGCTGTTGATGGGTGCGGTGCTGTGCAGGAATCTGTGCTGTACCATGCAGCAATCCTGCTCTTTCGCTCATCACCTACATTAAGCAGTTCCTAATTGTAGTAGTACCCGGACATCAGTGACTTTGGGAAACGAGGGCACTGTGTGCCTCGCAGAGACAGTTCTGAAGTAGCAGGCGGGTTTTTTTCAGTCCATGCTTTCATGCCTTGAGAACTTTTAAAGCAAACAGAACTTGCTTCTTGTTAAACTGTTTCGGGGGGGGGTGGGGGGGTGGGGGGTGTGTCCTTTTTTTTTTTTTTTTTTTCCTTGCCTTTGTTGTACACCATGATCTCAAACCTGAGAATATTTACTTAACACCAAGTGGAATTACTAAACTTTGTGATTTTGGTTGTGCTTAAACATTAGCTACTCCTGCTGATGTTTATACAGATTATGTGGTTACACAATGGCACAGGGCTCCTGAACTGGTTTTAAAAGACCCCACATATGGAAAATATATGTGTGTTCTTTTTCAGGGGTGTGTAGGGGGATGTGTGTGTGTCATCTGTAATTCATCTGGTATAGGAGAAGCCGTCTCCTGCATGTGAACTTCTGCATCCCGTGCAACATTAGCAAAAGGAAGATAATCATATAAAAGCTAAATTAAAATGGTGACATATCGTGTTCCTACATATAAGGTCAAAGATACCCTTATGCTCTGGTTCCAGATTCAGTGAAAGCAGTGCCGGGTTTATCTTTAAATACAGCACTGTTATTGTATAAACCAAACAGATCATTCATCATTTTTTTATAAACCTCTGGAAGATGGTAATCTATGTTATTCCTAGGTAACCTGTGCCCATTTGCCCTGCAGATGATTTTCCATATTACCCGCATCAAAAATGTCCGGTAGCGTTGGCGCTGAGCCCCCGTGATGACCAGTGACAAGGGTCGTCTGCAGAGCCCTAAGGAGCAATGCAAGAGAAGATGCTGTAAAACTGAGGAAAGAAAGACGCGGAACTTCGGAGATGTAGCGCACCTGGTTAACAACATGGTCACTTGGAAGTTTTTCCAAGTGTGTAATTAATTCCCACTAAAGATTTTATTCTGCATTTTATAAAATTCTGTTATTGTCCACCTACCATTATGAAATTCTGTAGAGGAGGTTTGCAGTTGCAGAGAGGAGTGATAATTCCTGTCTCTATGCTCCCATTCATGCTGTTAGATATTAAGTACTATTATTCTTAGTAATAATAATAACAGTACGCTTGCAGTAGTTATTCTGGCACTGCTGAACTATAAACATGAAGGTAAATAGCTTTTTAACAAGCCAGGATAATTCATTTATTCTCAAACCTCAAATATAGTTTATAGAGCAGAATGAGTCAGCGGGAAGGATCTGCTTCTACATATCCTTCTTCTCGGAGAGGAAGCACAGAGAGGAGTACGGCAGTGTTGCGTAGTTCATTTCAGTTTTGAAGACAGCAGGCTTTTTGATGAGAGATTTTTAACGTATTTTAGCCATCCCCATGTGGATACAAGAGTAAGAATACGGTATACAATTTTTATATCTGTTTTAACCAGCTGATTTATTATCTGTTCATAATGTCCTTTTTGTCAAGCAGCTGGACACCTCTTCTTCACAGTATTTTATAAAGAGCCCAGGATTTTCAGGGATGGTACTTCCTGAAGTCCAGCATCCTAAAAACACAAGGAAGAGGTTTCCCCAGCTCGCTGCCTTACTGGAGATGCTGTTCGCTATTAGAAACCCCATTCAGCTACAGACTGTCGCCCTAACTCGTACGACGAGTTCAGTGGGTTTAATTGGGATGTCCACACATGAAGAATGTGGCACATCAGAAATTGCTAATTAGAGAAGTTGGGATTTTCAGAAATGCTGAGATTCGGGAGCGTAAGTGCCAGTCCACAGTTTTATAAGTATTTAAGTTAATTTAAATTCACCGATGCTGTAATTACTATAGTCACTGAGATGCAGTTGCAGGCACTAATGGTTTTAAAAAAAATGTGTTCTGTTGAGACATTGAATCTTGTTTCCCCTGATGTCAGTGGGAACGGGAATGGATTTAGGTTTTGCCATTTCCATTAAGCAAAATCAAAAATCCAATAGGCAATTTCCTGTCATAAAAAGATCTGAGAGAGCAGATGGGGGAAGAATAATCTGAGATGCATTTTCTTTTTTACTAGCTTGCTCTATTTCATTTTTAAGAGCATACCTAAAATGTCGTCTTCTGCAACGAGAGCTTGTTTGTTAAGTCTTAAAATAAATGGCAAGGAAAAAGCTCTTTTACAAATCCGCAATGCTAGTGGTGATACCAGGCATTTCTAATAACCTGTTAGCACCACGAAAACTCAAAACAAAAACCAATGAGGCACTCTTGAGTAAAGACCAGCGAAGCTTTCACCACCAGCAGGCTTTTCTGACTCATTCTTTCTCTGGCAATAGAAAATGCAGTTGCTGCAGAGAAATGAAGGATCTCATTCATGTGTGGGGGACGGCGAAAAGGAAAGGCCGGAGGCCAAGCTTTCCTCCCGCGGCTGAATTACAGCATTGGAGAGGGTTTACTCCTTCCCTCTCTGGTTCCGTTACGTCCTTCCAAATCTCCGATAGTTGTAGTGGGAAGTGTGTTTAAATCTCCAGTCACTGATTTTGTTGATGATGGGTTGACTTGGTGTTACAGATATATTTTCAGAAGGTGTTAAGTTCTGACAACTAAGTTTAATACTTGAAATGAAATGGAGCTTTGAAGTGGATGAGAGAAGAAAGGGAAAGCAGCTTATCCATTAGGCTACTTTGATTCCTCAGAAGTCTCTGTAACCCTTCAAAATCCTTTCACAAACATTTCAAGAGCTTCCAGGAGGATTTATTTTATTTCGTCTTAGTGTGTTTATTCATGTTTCTTTTAGGTTTCCCATGTTTAAGAGGCATCACACAGAGACAGCGTAGAGGGACATTATGAAGTGACCCACTTTGGAAGTGGCCACCACCATCCTGCTGCGGTAGCTGGAAGCCAAATGGCAATGGAGGGATGGAGGTTGTTCTTTCAGAATTAGGACGTGATACAGGAAGCCCTCCTATGCATCTAGAGGGCTATTAACCCATCTAGTTCAGACGTCTGATTTATTTGTTTAGGTTAGATGAGCCTGTTTTTCATCCAAACAGTCAATGGAGAGAACCAGAGGCTCTCAGAAAAATGCTTCACATCAGCCCAATTAGGCAATAATTAAACTCTTAAATCAGATGTTCTGAACTGCTTATGGAAGAATGTCTCTATTGGGATAGGGATCCTACCTTTCTCACCCGGGCCTTTTAATTTAAGAAGCTCCAGACAGGCAGTCTTAAAGTTGGGTGATATCCCTCAGGTATGCACAAGAGGAACATATGAATGTGAGATACGGAGCGGATACATTCCCATACTATAGAGAGAAAGGGGCAGCATGGGAGATGAAAAAGCCTTGAGTCGCTGAAGAGTTGCTGCAGCTACTCTGATAGTCCATTCATAACCCCTATCTAACAAATTAGAGGGGTATTTTGGGACAGTCCTCCGCCAGCAGAGAGCTCCTAAAGGGAATATTTTCTCCAGAATAATTTAGATAAAACTCTGGGGCCCTTACCTACCCTAGAACTGGGAGCTAAAATAACAACTCACCTTCCAGCCACCCGCTGTACCAATTCAGAAAGATGAGCCAAAAACCGTGAACTGGGTTACACAGCGATAGAATAGGATCCAGACATCCTGGATGTTACTGAAGTAGGTGCAATGACAAAAAAATCTATGAGATAATTTAAGTAGAGAACAGACACCAAATAGCACTAGATGAAAAGATTCTTAATAACCAAATAATATGAATTTATGAATAATCTAATGAAATGAACAGATATAAATTCATAGCTACATGCACACTGGTAAACCAGTCACTCCTGGAGATTGCAGACTGTCCTCGGTTTGTGTGTGTGTGCAGCAGAGTTATTCAGAGGAGCCTGAATATGTCCCAAAAGGTCCCCAAAAGCCTGCATTTCCAAAAAAATCTCTCACAAAACATTAATTATATGTTCTCCTACACAGACAAGGGTGGATTCAGAGACACTGGCCAAGTCTTCACTGTGTTGTGCCTGCTCCTCACAAGGCATCAATTTTATCACGGAAGAGCACCGGATCTGGCCCTTTGCAGAGCGAGGAGAAATCACACACTGAACAGTGAAGAAAAACCAGTTTGCTGCTGCCCAGACGGAGGCTGAGTAAAGCAAACTCCCCAGTCAAAATAGCGGATAATGTGCAATCACCTTTTAATGTATAAAGCAAGGCCAATGGGTTATGGTAGCTTAGGAAATGCAATTTCTAGTTTTTAACTTGTTGAAACTTGTGGCTTGGCCACAAAGAGGTTTTTACAAGAACCACCATACAGCACTTCCATTCATACTTTTACAAAACGTTTAACATTTTTCTTAGGACATACTGAGGGTATCATGGTGTGATACAGCATTAAGCATTGTTTTGGAGTGATTTCTCTGAAAATTACCATTCGCTTCATCCGTACTGCGCTGAGCCCACCAGCCAGCAGGTGTGGCTGTGGAGCCTTTTGAAATCCACGGGATTTCTTCCATCAGCCCAGATGTCATCACTGTACCCACTTCTAACGTGGCTGTAATAACGCCGCATGCATGCCTTCACCCTCGGAAATCCCAGGGTAACTGTAAACACGAGTGCCGTATGTACGGGTGTCTTTTACACAAACGTTAATGTAATTTTTAGTGCAAAGGACTTGAAACTATGGGTTGCATCCTTTGCTGACAAGCTCCATTTTTGGTATATACAACTGGCATTATCCTCGGAGCTACTCACAAGGTATTTGGCTCTCCGAGTTGTTAAATAACAGATTTACTTTAGGCGCTGGCATATGATTTTAAGAGAAAATACTCTTTAATAGAACTTAAAAGACCATTTCACTTCTTGCTATCAGATGCTTACTGGAGCTGAAAGCCAAGTTCTTACAAGAAACAAAATTAAATTTCTCCTTCAAAGCACAGAGGGAATAACAAAGATGTAGAACTACTAAAACATGAGAAGTGGTGTTTTTACTGCCTGTCAGAATGGTCCAGGATTTGGGAAGGTGAGAACTGCTTTTCTTAAAATATTTATTGCTGCATAAAATTGTTACCGTGATTACAACGCACTGGTGCTGGTGTCTTCATGGGGTTGAGTCCAATCTGTATCATTGCAGTGGAAAACCGAAATGTTCATTTTGAGGGAGAAGTATGCCCAAAATTAAACAAAAGAACAAAAAACAGCTAGCAGATTTTTAATCTGCTGTCTTGTGTTTTGATATTTTAGATTGGACCTCAATTCAGCGGTTCATTTGTATTTAACAAAGGAGCACATGCTCAACTACAAGCGCACTGGATTCAGGCACACGCCTACCCGCTTTTCCAGCAGGATGACTGGGCTGTAGGTTTAACCACGCTGCTGACCTACAGACTACACACCTGTAGCTGGAGTAAGCGCAAGGGGGGAAAAATGCATGCGGGATCCAACCTCAAAGACTTCTCACATTGGTACTTTCCTACTTTTCCTGTCCAATGGTGTTTGTATTTTACATGTGGTTTTAAACACCAGCATCACAAACTTCTTCACTTGTTAAAGGATCTTACAGTCAGGGAATATGGGACATCCTTTGGGGGTCTGTGCATTATGGAATATTTCTCTTGCAGATGATCATCTGCTGTTTTATTCCAGGTATGTTAAGAAAACGCTGGACTGAGTGTTCCAGCTGATGTTTTGTCATAGTTTCCAAAAATAAAAGTAAATGAAGATTGTACAAAACCAGTCATGGTTGTGGAGTCAGCAATTGCTGAGCTGACTTACACTTGGAATAACAGTCAGTAAAAAAAAACCAACAAAACTTGGCTTATAGAAATTTCCTGAACTGGAACAGCCAACAGGATTATTTTTAGTTCACGTTTTAATGTTTTATCATTTAAAGGGAAAACAGTTGCCAGATGAAAAACATTACGTAGTGTTTGAACAAAAGCTATTTTCTTATGTGCTAAACTTTAAACGACACATTTTTACAGGGTACGGTTTCTCAACTACCTCTGTTTCTTAAGTTTTCCAGCCCCAGCATCACTAACAAAAATAAAGCTAATGTGAAATTTTAGCCAAAAGGCACTTTGGGTGTACTTCCGCAGAGATGTGAGGAGACGCTAGAGTTAGAGGTCCACTATTGCCCAGGAAACCCCTTTACTCCTAAACAGCAATTGTAGGCTGTAGCTTGGCGAGCAGGATGATGGGCATGAAGGATATTATGGCAAATATTTATTTAATATTTTTTATTATTAAATATCTAGTATTT